GAGGAGGAAGATGAATCACTTGAGGAGGAGGATGGCGAGCCCGCCCTGGATCCTCCCCTCGATGGCCGTCGACGTCGGGGTTCACCGCGCCTCCTGCTGCGTCGTGAGGGCGATCGGGATCTCCTCCTCCTACTACCCCCGCGCTTCTCCTTGTGCTTCCTGGGCGCCGGTGCCGTGGGGACGACAAAGGCAGGCTCCTCGGTCGGCGTCGGGAGAGGCTCTGCTGACATCAATGCCCCCTGCTCCGCCCTCCTGACGGGAGGGGCGAGTGGCTCCCATCCGGAAGCCGCGCCCTCCGGGGAGGGAGGTATCTCGGAGTCGAGGAGGTGGAGCTCAGCCGAGCTCGGCAGGTCGATGCCTGCAGGAAGCTGGGACGCCTCAGCATATGATTCCCTTGCCAGCGTGGGAGGAGACCGGGTCGGGGCCGGAGATTCAGCCGATGCCGGTGAGGGGAGCGTCTGCCTGGGGGAGGGTCGGGTTCCCTGCGTCATCCCATCGGTTGGTAGAGGGCTCCTTCCCGACGCCGCTGAGGGGACAGTAGGAGCCTTTCCCGCCCTTTTTTCAGAAGCCTTTTCCTGAGTGGGCGAGGCGCGGCCATCTTTTTTGGCTTTTTCCCCCTGCTTCTTAGCTTTCTTTTTAGGGGCTGCAGAGTCCGGCCTGGCTGTAAGCAGCGGAGCAGCCCTCTCCCCCGAAGAACGGGGATTCGGCAGGTCAGGCATCAAGGCCTTTTCATAAAGGGCCGCTTTCAATCTGAGTTCTCTGCTTTTCCTCGTTTGTGGCGTAAAAGCCGCACAAACAGCGCAGGACTGGGAGAGGTGCCCCTCTCCCAGGCAAGTTAGGCAGAGGCTATGCCCATCCGCGTCGGGGAGTACATTGGGGCAAGCAGAGCACCTCTTAAAGGAGGTGGTAGCCATCTTGCCAGCCAACAGGAAAGCGACCCAGGGACGAGGCGAGAGAGAATCCTTGAGCAGTCCGGGTCGAGGGGGATCAGAGTACCTTACAAAGTCCAATTAGCAATCCGAGTCAAAACCAGAAGATCAATCTAGAGGTTCTCTATAGCTGTTAACTGCTAACGGCGGAAAAAAGAGGATGGAGGGCGGGCTCCACTCAGGGCCTTATATACTTGCAGGGGGGGAGGTGGAGCCACGAGGGGGATACATTTGTTTGAGCTTTCTAGAAGGTTCCGAAGCTGGCCTGCGCTGGCGCAGGAATACCACAATGTGTGATTCACAGTTAACTACGACAGGAAAATGTTATGCATCTCTCTGACTGAAGGAGTGAAGATAGCTTACAACATGCTTTTGAATCTTGCTGTGTCTATTCTCTGGGCACTTCCAGGCAGTGGGTTTAAGAGGGAGGACCAAAAAACCTGAGACCCAAGAGCAGGTCCCCACACAGACCTGTGAGTCCCAGAATTTCTTCCCCCACTGTCCTTACAGGTCTCCTCTGTCTCGGAACAAGATAGAGGGTGGACAGGGGACATCCGAGAAAAGGGTTTTTTTTAAATCACTCTGTTATGTGCTGAACCATATATGCTCACATGCGAATATCTGAATATAAATATAAGCAGATTTGCATGTGCACATATGAGGTTCAGCACATAATAGTGATTTTTTTTTAAACTCCTGCTGGATTTCTCCTTTTCCTTGTTTGTTCAAGCTCTGTTTAATATTATACAGTTTAAAATAAACAGTTTCAGAGAATTCTAATTGTTCTCAATTTCTACTTCCTTTAAATCAGCTGTGTATCCATTTCACAGCCCAATCAGCTGTTTTGGGCTTTTAAAAAGCGGGTATGTGTTGGAGCAGTTCACAGCGTGGAGGGAAGAAAATCACATGTTTTTGGTGAGTGCAGGAATATACAGTAATGTGAATATGCACATTCTTTGGCTGGAATTGGGATAAAAGGGGGCCTTTTTATCCCATGTTTTTTGGCTGTTGCAGCAAATCAGCTTGCATTTAATGCTAAGGCCACGTAGCCACCCTCCTTTTTAATATGTGAAATTCAGTGTTTTAGATACTGTGTAGATGGGCCCTCTGTCTTACTCCATGCACTATGATGTGCGTTCTTTTCTGCTAGTGAAGTGGCATTTTGTTTGTATGATTTGAAATACAGCTAACATTTCCTGAATATGGTTGGTGTCTACTTTGGCATATCTTCTCAAACATGCTTTAGTTCCAGAAAATTCAAAACTAATAAAATCTAAAACTTATCCATGAAACTGATTTGTGTTTTAAGCAGATGAATTACACATAGTGAGACTTTGAGTTGCCACTAGAAGGATTTATTTCTATCTTCTCCAATTTTTTTTAGAATCCAAAATATCATTTCCTAGACACTCTTCACTGCATAGGGCTTTCCATATATCATCAGTTCATAAGCTCTTCAGGGATAAATGGAAACCATGTTCACGATGTTTTAATTTGTAGAAGAGATTGTGATTTCATTTGCAACAGTGTAATTGAGATAATGCCCTATTCCACAAGGACTCAATATTAGATTTTCCATATTGCTATCATTTTCAAAAATGATATCCTTCTGAAAGATATTGAAAAGTACCCTTTCTCAGTAACAATCGTTTCTGAGATAGCTTCCTGTGAATAGAATTTAAACCTAGACCTTAAAAGCCGAAGACAAGGTACACCAATGTTTATGCCAACACACCACAATAAGGACGTTTTAGTAGCATTCTGACAAGTTCAAAAGTAGATATCATACTGTCTGTGGTACTGGTCCCAACTACACTTGTCAGTTTAATTTAGGCTGCGTGAAAATACAGTGTCTAGATTATGCATGCCATTGAAATACAACAGCATGTTTCAGTATAAACCACACTGCAAAATCAGATCCTCAGAAAGTGAATCGCTGTAAGGACACCTGAAGTGCTCCATGTGTGTGTGTTCCAGAGGAGGGAGTTGGAAAAAAAATCCCTAATATTTCAATGGCTATCAAGTCATAGCTACTGTGGATCCTAGAAAGAGTCTGAGGCTTGCTTTTGAGATTGGACTCATTCCAGGATTATTAATTACTAATCTGTACACTAAAACCATTTCCTCCATGCCTAGTTTTAACTGACCTAATTGATCAGTATATATGTGCCTTGAGTTTTAGGAATGACTATGAAATAAGAATGATACAAAAGAGAACTTTCTAGAATGCTGGATATTTTTAAATGGCAGAGAAAACATGTCAGGATGTATGACTGGGATGTTTATACCTGTGCTTCCTAATGGTTCAATATACACAAAGTTTGTTTCATGTACAAAATTATTATAAATAATGTGTATAAATTTATCTTGTGTATAAGGTATATATGAAATAGAAATACATTTTGGGTCCCATCTACAAGGTATTCAAATATTCTACAAGGCATGCAAATATTCCAAAATCCAATAAAATAAAATAAATCTGAAATTCAAAAAACTTCTGGTCCCACACATTGCAGATAAAAGATACTTATCCTGTATATAACTCTCTCTCTCTCTCTCTCTCTCTGTATATATATATATATATATATATATATATATATATATACGCGCACACGCGCACACACACACTAACACATACATACACTGGGTGATCATACTTCAAGATAATTTTTTTAACCATGCTAAGAACCAGTATAATTTAGTGTTTTGGGAGACCAGGGTTCGGATCTTTGCTCAGATGTGAAAATTAATTGGGGGATCTTGGGAAAATCACATTATCTGAGTCCTGAGAGATGTCACTCCACCCACTTTGGGTTTGACCCACCACCTGCTGGTTTTGGGTTCCATGCACCAGCAACATATCAGTCCAAGACTGCTGAAGTCAGATTTATAGTAAATAAGAACCTCCACTAAAAAGGGGCCAGTTCTTTCTCTGTGGCATGTATTTCTCTCTTCTGTTGAAGGAAGGAAGAGGGGGCCAGTAACATGCAGCAAAACAGAATAGAGGAAACCAGATCCTTGTGATATAGTCCCTCTTCTTCTTCCTATGTGCTTCTGCTTTCCTGGTACTTTTTTCTTTGCCCAGGAAGAACAAAGATTTGCAATACTAGAGAATAGCCCAATCTACTGGATAAATGGAATGGATTGGGATTAATTTCCCCTCTTTCTCATGTGCTGGGAATCTCTGTTTCACCTGGAAAAGGAAGGGAGATCATGGTTGCAAAAGAGACTCAGAAAACGGGTGAATCCAGTTCATCTTCCTATTCCTGTGTAGCATATGTTCCTGGTTTTTTTTGCCCAGGTGAGCCAAATCTGCCAAGTAAGTGAAGCAGTACAGAATTACCTCTTGCTTTACCTGTGTGTCATGAGTCTCTGTTTTGCCTGGGAAAGGAAAGGAGATACCAAGTTGAACAGAGACTTGTGGCATGCCTCCCAAACAGCCCCCTCCCCAATCTCAGGAGGCAGCAGGTTGAAAACTTACGAATAATCAAAATCACAAGTGTGAAACCTACAAAAGTGGAGGTCCGGCTGTAGAAAATATTATCCTCTCAATGCAGAACAATCCGTCCCAGTGTGTTGCTGAAAATTTACATTGTAGCTTCACATAAAACTTTCAGTAATAAATCATATTCTTCACCATAGACTCCAGTGAGGATGTTATGAATATTTGTTCTCATCCTGCGGATTATAAATCTAACCGTCTGGTGAATTTGCCCTCAAAGTTGAAAATTGTATGCCAATTCCAAAGGAGTAATTAAACCTTTAATCAAATAATAGCTTATGGATAAGAGGTAAATGTACTCTCTTCCAAATAGGTTTTATTCTGAATACCAGTAAACATTAACGTTTAGGAACAAAAAAACTGGCAAATCAGACATTATACCTCCTGCCCCCCCCTTCCAAAAAAACAAACATTGATGCAAATTATCATGCAATGCAATAGTCTACCAAGCACATTAATGATTTGGCACAGGAGGGGGAATGAATATATTGCAGATGGATCATAAAAAATGTTTGTCTTCATATGGTTAGTGTCATTTTGTAACACATTTCATCCAAATAATTACTTACTAATGAATTAAAATGCACCATCTGTCCATTTTGCTACAGGATCCATTTCTGCAGCTAGACTGGAAGGAAAAGACATAAATAGCTACATTAGAACAGTAAATGAGCTCACACTCTGTGAAAGAAGGAAAATGCAAATAATCCTCACAAAAAGGTTGCAGATTTGAAGTTTTAGGAAGGACAGGAAATTTCTGTTCACCAATCTAGCTCTTCTCAGATGCTCAGGCAAGAACAGAGTTGGAAACCCACAGCAAAAGGTGTAATAGTATACAAAAAGGAATTTAATTGTATTGAAGATCAACACCCTAACTCCTCCAATGGTCTGACCAACAAACGATTATTTTAATGGAATAGATGGAAGCTTAGTACTTAACTGGATTTCTCTTGATTTATTTCAAAGAGATTCTCTTTCTAGCATCTTTTCTGTGTCCTTTGTCCAATTTGACTTTTGTAAAACACCTCCTGTTTAAGTCTCTTTTCTTCTTTAATCTGTAGACTTGGTTTCTCAATACTTCAAACTTGTTTCTCCAAGTGTGGACTTGGATACTCAATTCAAAGCAGACATTATAGATTATCTGCCTGGATATTCTGAGTTATATGGCTGCAGGGCCATAGCTGGGGGGGAGAGTGGTAATGGTTCAGCACATCCCTCCAAAATGTGTCAGGTAAAAAAAGCAAACCCCGGTTTACTCATGAAATTTAACTGGTTAACCAATTCATGATGAAATCACAGGTTTTTTTAACCTGATACTTTTTTTTGAGGGGGGGGGGCTTCTAGAACATGGCCATTCAACCTGGAAAACCTACAACAACCCAATGATTCTGGCCATGAAAGCCTTTGACAATACAGTAAACGCTCTATGGGGGCATAACAGGAAATCTGGTGTTTAAATGTATTTTCAGGCATGCTGCAGAGAGAGTAAAAGCCGCACTCAAAACATATTCAGTAACTTGAAAGTGATGAAGCCAAGACTGAAATCCTTACTTTGTCTTTACAAAAACTTCTTCTAGACAGTAACAGCAATGAAGATATAACTCCCTTTTTTGTGTCTTCTTGTGAAAACTTTGAACTAGATCTGGTAATATCTGTTTCCTGTTGCTCTGGTGTGTTTTTCTGGTGAGGAGTAAGCATCAGTCTTTCTATTTATTTATTTTTGTCTTCCATTTGTATTTGATTTTCTGCTGTGGCAATTATGGGTGCAAGTCTTTGGACTTTCAGTGTCTAAGTGCAGATCAAAAGGGGAAAAGCACGTACACACTCTGCAGGTGTTGCTTCCTGCTCTGGTTCACCAATTACTTTTACTGACTAGGATGTGCAGAACTGCCAATACGAAAGATAAAAGGCTTTGTTTTGTGAGTAGTATTAACTCCCCAACATATACAGTGTGTAATTATTGATTGCTAAGACTTCTGTATAGCCTTTTATCCTTGGACAAGGCACCTAGAGGGGTTTCTGTCCTTTTTCTGGAGCTGCTCAGTATTTACCAGGGATGCGCCCCAAGCACAAGATTCAGATCAAAATTCCATTTGGAAATTTGTCAAACAATCTGATGTTATTCAAACCAATCTGCCGCTGTCCATTTCGATTTGGATACCCAGTCAAAGCTGAAGGTAAGAATCTGAAGATTGCGAATTGAAACCATTTTTAAAGGGGGAGCAGAAGTTACATAGGGGAAAGGGGGTGTTGTGTTAAACATTTTGTCTCCACTGAAGCATTCTGTACAAGAAGAAATAGGAATATTCAAGCAAAACATATTGATGAGTACCAAGGATGAATGCATATGAACAACTGCGATAAAATAGTGGGAATTAAATTTACAATCATGGGCAAGGAAAAATAAATCGGAATAGTACAGTCTTAAGGAGAACAGGTAAACAATCAAAGAAATATGTTAAGAATAAGAATCCTGAGCTAGAGAAACACTGGTGTAAATACAGACCAATTTCATTCTCATATGCAATAACATGTGACATTGCAGATTTTCTTACTACAGGAGAAGATTATGATGCACTTTCATTTTGTCTGTGTGTGTGTGTGTGTGTGTATGGACTGTCACCTTGTCATGGTGAGGGGGCTTGCATGTTCCAATGAACCTGCGGGCACGACTATTCTGCGGGCACAATGACTGATTCTAGTTATGAGATGCTAATGAGTTGTTTACTGATGTGTAATTACTTAGTATATTATTGTGTTAATTGTTTTAAATGGTTTGTATGATGCTAGCATTGAATTTTTGCTCTTGCTGTTGTTAACCGCGTTGAGTCGCCTAAGGGCTGAGAAACTGCGATATACAAATAAAGTAAATAAATAAATAAATAAACGACTGGAGTCGTGCACTCCCAGGACTGGCCGCGGGGGAGGTTCCAGACCAAGCACAGTCTGAAGACCCAAAGATCTCAACGGTGGAGCAGGCGGAGGATAACATGGTACATGTTACAATGGCCGTGAAGGCGGAAGAAGGCTGCAACAGATTGTGAAGCCATGGTAATTGTGTTAAACTACACCACCAGTGGAACCTCACTCTGTGAAGTCTGTGTGTTGATCAGTTGTGCACTGACCTCCACACATTAAAAAAATTCATGCACAGGCATCTTCCAAAGAAAATACAAACAAACCAACAAAAGTCCCATGGTGATCAGCGAGCGGCGACGGGGGCAGGACTGTGAAATCTGGAAGCCCCTAGTCACAGACTGGCACATGGGTGCTGAATACGGACTTAGTCGTTCTACCTCAAGGTCCGAGGCAGTTGAATAGTTCAGCAGCTGTATCCATGACTGAGCAGCTCTTTTTAGGACCCACTCTACTCACCCCACACGAGGGAGGGGCTAGAAAAGGTGCCCTAAACATATTCTGCCTCTCTTATCCCTGACTGAACTGCAGCATCCAGTGGGGTCACCACCTTGTGGCCAAAAAGAAAAATGAAGTTCAGTACATGGAACGTATGGACACTGATGGACGACACTGAAAGTGAACGCCCCAAATGCAGAACTGCCATCATTGCAAGGGAGCTGAGACGCTTTAACATCAACATAGCAGCACTTCAGGAGACCTGGAGAGCAGGAGAGAGACAGCTGAAGGAAGAAAAAGGAGGCTACACCTTCTTCTGGAAGGGACTGCCCGAAGAAAACCAAAGAGTGCATGGAGTTGGCTTTGCTATCAGAAATGATCTGGTGAAACATCTGACCAAAGCACCCACTGGCATAAACAAACGACTCTCAACCCTCCGAATTGTACTGGCCAAAAACCAACAGGCAACCATCATAAGTGCCTATGCACCAACACTAGATGCTGATGAAGACGTCAAGGAAAAATTTTTACTGTCAGCTGGACATTGTCCTATCGGAGGTACCTAAGGAAGACAAAATCATCCTGCTGGGGGACTTTAATGCAAGAGTCGGGTGAGACTTCGTCCTGTGGCCAACGACCATAAGAAAAGACAGGGTTGGAAACAGCAACTCAAATGGCAATCTACTTCTCACCAAATGTGCGGAACACAACCTTGTCATCACCAACACTCTCTTCTGCCAGAAAAACAAGCTCAAGACATCATGGAAGCAGCCCCAGTCAAAGCATTGGCACCTCTTAGACTACGTAATCACACGTGCCAGAGACTGCCGTGACGTGCTCCTCATAGGAGCCATGACAGGTGCTGACGGCTGCTGGACAGACCACAGGCTAATCCAATCCACGATGGCTATCAAGATCGCCCCCAAGCACAGACTCCAAGGAAGAAAGAAAAGGCGCAAAATGAACACCCAAGCCCTTCAGGAGCCCTCCAGACGAGCCCTTCTCCAAACAGCACTCAAGGACCATGTACCCACAGAACACCCCGAAAATGTTGAGGAACATTGGAACAAACTGAAGACCTCCATCATCCAAGCCTGCGAAGAAACTATTGGATATCAAACCAAGAAACATCAAGATTAGTTTGTTGAAAATGACGAGATCCAACAGCTAATTGACAAAAAAAGGAAAGCCTTCCAAACATGGCAGAGAGACATCAACTGTACTGCTAAGAAAAAGATCTACACCAGTGCAAAAGCTGGAGTCCAAAGAAGTACAAGAGAACTCAAGAACAACTGGTGGACAAAGAAGGCTGAAGAAATCCAACACCTGGCAGATACCCATGGTATGCCATGATTTCTTGGTCATCTATGGACCAAGAAACCATGGCATACAGTCTCTCCACTCATCAGATGGAACCAAACTCCTGAAGGACCAAAACTCAATTGCACTATATTGGAAAGAACACTACCAAAGCCTCCAGAACCACAGCTCCAATGTGGACATGATCTTCACTGCACGACAACTCCAAGAAAAATGCAGGGAACAAAATCAACCTCTGTACATGGCATTCATTGACCTTGCAGAGGCAGTTGACACAGTGAATCGCAGCGCCCTCTGGACCATCCTCCAAATATCGGGTGCCCTAACAAATTTGTGAACATCCTGCGGCTCCTCCATGATGACATGATGGCAACAGTCTTGGACAGCAATGGCTCCCAAAGTGACCCATTTAAGGTGGAATCAGGCGTCAAACAGGGATGTATTATTGCCCCAACTTTATTCTCCATCTTCATTGCTGTGATACTTCACCTTATTGATGGGAAGCTTCCCACCCGAGTGGAAATCATCTATCAGACAAATGGCAAGCTGTTTAACCTCAGCAGACTGAAAGCCAAAACCAAAGCTACAACAACATCTGTTATAGAACTCCAGTATGCTGATGACAATGTCATCTGTGCGCATTCAGAAGAAGATCTACAAACCACTCTAAACACCTTCGCAGAGCATACGAGAAGCTCGGCCTGTCCTTGAACATCGAGAAAACCAAAGTGCTCTTCCAGCAGTCACCAGCCAACCCCTCTCCAATCCCAGAGATACAGCTTAATTGGCAGCCACCTCTCCACCAAAGTCAACATCGACACCGAAATACAACATTGCCTGAGCTCTGCGAGTGCAGCATTTTTCTGAATGAAGCAGAGAGTGTTTGAGGACCGGGACATCTGTAGGGATACCAAGGTGCTTGTCTATAAAGCTATTGTCCTCCCAACCCTGCTA